ATTGCATCCATGACACCAATGTTGGGGGTTGTTATTGCATCCATGACACCAATGTTGGGGGTTGTTATTGCATCCATGACACCAATGTTGGGGGTTGTTATTGCATCCATGACACCAATGTTGGGGGTTATTATTGCATCCATGGCACCAATGCTGGGGGGTTATAATTGCATCCATGACACCAATGTTGGGGGTTATTATTGCATCAATGACAGCAATGTTGGGGGTTATTATTGAATCCACTGACACCAATGTTGGGGGTTATCTCCTCCACTGACACCAATGTTGGGGGTTATTATTGCATCCACTGACACCAATGCTGGGGGTTATTATTGCATCAGTCCATCCAGGTTGATTATTGGATATTGGATTGGATATTAGATGCTCTTCCCGAATTGCAGTCAATTTTTGGGGGTTTTGGACATCCTCTGCTGAAGGGACAGTCAACCATATAAAACCTAGCGGAGGTCCCAGCTCGTCGTCCCAATGCTATACAAAATTGAATGGACAAAAGATTTCCCTACTGATGACATGGATCAAACACATCCCATCCAGTGTGATGAGTGAAACATGGCGGGAAATGGAAAACCTTTCACAGAGCCTACCCCTGGACAGGGCAATTTTCTGGCCTCCTCCAGCTCCCCAAAGTGTGGACAACCCAGGCCTTCCCCATCTCGCTGCTTGTAGTTCTGTATCAAGATCTCTGAGTTCTGGGATCACATCCATTGTGTAGAAGGCAGCACATTATCTGACCATCCCCCGCTCCTCAATTCCTGGTTTGGAGGAGCCAACAACCTCCCATTAGGTGACGCTGCAAACTATCTGACCGGGCTCTGTCCGCACCTGAGCTCATCCCAACTAATCAGGTACCAATTGTAAGACTTCAGATGATCGCCCGACCCTAAATCCCAGTGCCTGGAGTCAGTGAATCATCTAAATATATTATCATAGGAAAGCCTGCAGATTTAGGATCAGTCACAATGAAATATTCAAATTTAAAGTTCTCATAGACACAGGAAAGGACTGAGCTCACCATACAGATATTTGACCTTATAATGGAGATGCAAATGTCATGGTGAGTATGGCCGCTGTCATTGGGGCTGGCCTGAACCTTCTGCATGCTGCAACTCCCTACTGGACATCTGGACATTGAGGCTGCCCAATGCTTTGAAGAACCAACAGGGCAGCCATCAGGGGGGTACGGCCGATACTCACGTAAGGGGCCCGGGCAGCCTGGGGGGCCCGCCTGGGTCCCTTACATGACTATCGGCCGATGGTGAAGGGCGAGGAGGCGGAGGACTGGCCCTAGCAGCGCAGGGCCCCAGCATTTCCGCTGCAGCGGCTTCGAGACAAGCTGGGGCCCCATCAGCGATGCTGCTCGTCTGATGTCGTACTGGCCGGAAGTGGCGTCAAGTTAGTGACGTCACTTCTGGCCTGTACGGCGGCAGACGAGGCCGCGTGTGCAGGTAAGAGGAGGTAGGAAGGAAGGAAAGGAGGGAGGGGAGGGATGCAGCCCTGACCAGACCACCTGAGACACCTTCAGAGCCCACCATAGACAGTCTCAGATATGCTGTGCAGCATCTATGGTGGGCTTTGCAGGGTCACTCTCAGGTGGGTCCTGTGTCCAGCGTGTCGCTAAGCCCTGCGTCCAGCGTGTCACTAAGCCCATGTCCAGGGGGGGCCCGGCCTAAAGCCGCGTAAGGGGCCCCAAAAGTTCTGACGGCTGCCCTGAGAACCAATAGGGAGATGGGGCAGGTGAAATTAGAATCTTAGGGCTGGGGGAGCACAAGAGCTTCATGAATATATTTACAGACCTCCAACTGAGCAAGTAATTTGCAGATAACAGTGTTCTATTATAGGTGGGTGAGGAGAGGGGCAGAGGCCTGGGAAGATGACCCCCATATCTGCACCTGGACTACCCCTCCCAATGGTCCCACAAAGCTAAGGGCAGCTTATGATTAGGAAGGGTTACCATTCACCCACTTACAGTGGGACTTGGAGACTCGCAGTTCAATGTCACTCAGATAAGAATGATTGAAGACATAAGAGTACGTTTGCGCTATTGATATCAGTACAATGTACATGGTGAAGAAAGCTCCGGTTGGTTCGGTCTCCATTAGATATACATTACTCTCAGGGCATTGGCTGACCGGTCTGCACACCCCCAAACATACGGCGAGCTCTGTTTAGCCGCCGCGGAACATACTGCTGGAATACATGGCCCGTGAAGGTCGACGCTATTTAAATATAACCAGAAGATAGCCAATCAGCTGCCTGATACAACCAAGGCCAACGCGTATCTATAGAAAAGATGAAAGTTTTATTTAAAAAAAGGTAATTGTTTATTATACACAGGGCTTTAGCAAACGAAATGCCATTCAATTATGGTTAACCTCCAGTCTCTACATCAGGGGTGGGCAAACTCTGGCTCTCCAGCTGTTGTGGAACTACAAATCCCATGAGGCATCACAATATTCTCACAGCTACAGGCATGACTCCCAGAGGCAGGTGCATGATGGGATTTGTAGTTTCACCACAGCTGGAGGGCTGGAGTTTGCCTACCCCTGCTCTACATACTGATTGCAGTATAACAACTCCTGTGATCAGCACTCTATTGGATGACAGGGAAGGATGTGGTTTACCAGCATATGCCCCTCCCATGTTCCGAAGCATATAACTACTGGGGGGCCCGCCTGGGTCCCTTACATGACTATCGGCCGATGGTGAAGGGCGAGGAGGCGGAGGACTGGCCCTAGCAGCGCAGGGCCCCAGCATTTCCGCTGCAGCGGCTTCGAGACAAGCTGGGGCCCCATCAGCGATGCTGCTCGTCTGATGTCGTACTGGCCGGAAGTGGCGTCAAGTTAGTGACGTCACTTCTGGCCTGTACGGCGGCAGACGAGGCCGCGTGTGCAGGTAAGAGGAGGTAGGAAGGAAGGAAAGGAGGGAGGGGAGGGATGCAGCCCTGACCAGACCACCTGAGACACCTTCAGAGCCCACCATAGACAGTCTCAGATATGCTGTGCAGCATCTATGGTGGGCTTTGCAAGGTCACTCTCAGGTGGGTCCTGTGTCCAGCGCGTCGCTAAGCCCTGCGTCCAGCGTGTCACTAAGCCCATGTCCAGGGGGGGCCCGGCCTAAAGCCGCGTAAGGGGCCCCAAAAGTTCTGACGGCTGCCCTGAGAACCAATAGGGAGATGGGGCAGGTGAAATTAGAATCTTAGGGCTGGGGGAGCACAAGAGCTTCATGAATATATTTACAGACCTCCAACTGAGCAAGTAATTTGCAGATAACAGTGTTCTATTATAGGTGGGTGAGGAGAGGGGCAGAGGCCTGGGAAGATGACCCCCATATCTGCACCTGGACTACCCCTCCCAATGGTCCCACAAAGCTAAGGGCAGCTTATGATTAGGAAGGGTTACCATTCACCCACTTACAGTGGGACTTGGAGACTCGCAGTTCAATGTCACTCAGATAAGAATGATTGAAGACATAAGAGTACGTTTGCGCTATTGATATCAGTACAATGTACATGGTGAAGAAAGCTCCGGTTGGTTCGGTCTCCATTAGATATACATTACTCTCAGGGCATTGGCTGACCGGTCTGCACACCCCCAAACATACGGCGAGCTCTGTTTAGCCGCCGCGGAACATACTGCTGGAATACATGGCCCGTGAAGGTCGACGCTATTTAAATATAACCAGAAGATAGCCAATCAGCTGCCTGATACAACCAAGGCCAACGCGTATCTATAGAAAAGATGAAAACACACATTATATAAGAAGATGAACTTTCCCCGAAAAACATGTCGGATAATATAAATATATATACTGTATGTATGAACAACACCGGCAGATAATAAACACGAGTGCCTGGTCACATTCACAGGCTGTGCATTGGATTACAACACCATCAGGGTGCAAAAATAGATATAATCCACCCAAAAAAATCTTCCTTCTGTCCTCAATCCGTATATTCCCTATAATGATATGAGAGTAAAACCATTGTTCCGTCCTCAATCCGTATAATAATATAAAAGAAGTGAGACTTCTGTTCTGCCATTGGGACTCTTACTCCCCCCCCCCCCCCGCCACCCCTCGGCCCCG